GCGATTTTCGCAGCTGGCGGGGGAAAAATCGCGATTTTCGCCGCTAGCGGCCAAAAAATCGCGCGATTTTCGCCGCTACCGGCCAAAAACCGCGCGATTTTCGCCGCTACCGGCCAAAAACCTTGCGTTTTTCGCAGCTGGCGGGGAAAAATCGCGATTTTCGCCGCTACCGGCCAAAAATAGCGCGATTTTCGCCGCTACCGGCCAAAAACCGCGCGATTTTCGCCGCTACCGGCCAAAAACCATGCGATTTTCGCAGCTGGCGGGTAAAAATCGCGATTTTCGCCGCTACCGGCCAAAAATAGCGCGATTTTCGCCGCTACCGGCCAAAAAACCGCGCGATTTTCGCCGCTACCGGCCAAAAACCATGCGATTTTCGCAGCTGGCGGCAAAAATCGCGATTTTCGCCGCTACCGGCCAAAAATAGCGCGATTTTCGCCGCTACCGGCCAAAAACCGCGCGATTTTCGCCGCTACCCGGCCAAAAACCATGCGATTTTCGCAGCTGGCGGGAAAAAATCGCGATTTTCGCCGCTACCGGCCAAAAATAGCGCGATTTTCGCCGCTACCGGCCAAAAACCGCGCGATTTTCGCCGCTACCGGCCAAAAACCATGCGATTTTCGCAGCTGGCGGGCAAAAATCGCGATTTTCGCCGCTACCGGCCAAAATAGCGCGATTTTTGCCGCTACCGGCCAAAAACCGCGCGATTTTCGCCGCTACCGGCCAAAAACCATGCGATTTTCGCAGCTGGCGGGCAAAAATCGCGATTTTTCGCCGCTACCGGCCAAAAATAGCGCGATTTTTCGCCGCTACCGGCCAAAAACCGCTCGATTTTCGCCGCTACCGGCCAAAAACCATGCGATTTTCGCAGCTGGCGGGTACAAAAATCGCGATTTTCGCCGCTACCGGCCAAAAATAGCGCGATTTTTGCCGCTACCGGCCAAAAACCGCGCGATTTTCGCCGCTACCAGCCAAAAACCATGCGATTTTCGCAGCTGGCGGTTAAAAATCGCGATTTTCGCCGCTACCGGCCAAAAATAGCGCGATTTTCGCCGCTACCGGCCAAAAACCGCGCGATTTTCGCCGCTACTGGCCAAAACCATGCGATTTTCGCAGCTGGCGGGCAAAAATCGCGATTTTCGCCGCTACCGGCCAAAAATAGCGCGATTTTCGCCGCTACCGGCCAAAAAACCGCGCGATTTTCGCCGCTACCGGCCAAAAACCATGCGATTTTCGCAGCTGGCGGGCAAAAAATCGCGATTTTCGCCGCTACCAGCCAAAAATAGCGCGATTTTTAAAATGCCGCTACCGGCCAAAAACCGCGCGATTTTTCGCCGCTACCGCGCCAAAAACCATGCGATTTTCGCAGCTGGCGGGCAAAAATCGCGATTTTCGCCGCTACCGGCCAAAAATAGCGCGATTTTCGCCGCTACCGGCCAAAAAACCGCGCGATTTTCGCCGCTACCGGCCAAAAACCATGCGATTTTCGCAGCTGGCGGGCAAAAATCGCGATTTTCGCCGCTACCGGCCAAAAATAGCGCGATTTTCGCCGCTACCGGCACAAAAACCGCGCGATTTTCGCCGCTACCCGACCAAAAAACCATGCGATTTTCGCAGCTGGCGGGCAAAAATCGTGATTTTCGCCGCTACCGGCCAAAAATAGCGCGATTTTTCGCCGCTACCGGCCAAAAACCGCGCTATTTTCGCCGCTAAAACCGCGCCAAAAACCATGCGATTTTCGCAGCTGGCGGGTAAAAATCGCGATTTTCGCCGCTACCGGCCAAAAATAGCGCGATTTTTCGCCGCTACTATCCAAAAACCGCGCGATTTTCGCCGCTACCGACCAAAAACCATGCGATTTTCGCAGCTGGCGGGCAAAAATCGCGATTTTCGCCGCTACCAGCCAAAAATAGCGCGATTTTCGCCGCTACCGGCCAAAAACCGCGCGATTTTCGCCGCTACCGGCCAAAAACCATGCGATTTTCGCAGCTGGCGGGCAAAAATCGCGATTTTCGCCGCTACCGGCCAAAAATAGCGCGATTTTCGCCGCTACCGGCCAAAAACCGCGCGATTTTCGCCGCTACCGGCCAAAAACCATGCGATTTTCGCAGCTGGCGGGTAAAATCGCGATTTTCGTCCGCGATTTTCGCCGCTACCCGGCCAAAAATCGCGCGATTTTCGCCGCTACTGGCCAAAAAACGCGCCGCTTTTTCGCCGCTACTGGCCAAAAAACCATGCGATTTTCGCAGCTGGCGGGCAAAAATCGCGATTTTCGCCGCTACCGGCCAAAAATAGCGCGATTTTCGTCGCTACCGGCCAAAAACCGCGCGATTTTCGCCGCTACCGACCAAAAACCATGCGCTTTTCGCAGCTGCCGGGCAAAAATCCCGATTTTCGCCGCTACCGGCCAAAAATAGCGCGATTTTCGCCGCTACTGGCCAAAAACAGCTCGATTTTCGCCGCTACTGGCCAAAAACCATGCGATTTTTCGCCGCTTGCGGGCAAAAAAAAAATCGCGATTTTCGCCGCTACCGGCCAAAAATAGCTCGATTTTCGACGTTATTGGCCAAAACCATGCGATTTTCGCAGCTGGCAGGAAATAATCGCGATTTTCGCCGCTACCGGCAAAAAATAGAGCGATTTTCAACGCTACCGGCCAAAAAACCGCGCGATTTTCGCCGCTACTGGCCAAAAACCGAGCGATTTTCGCAGCTGGCAGCCAAAACCATGATGCGATTTTCGACGCTGGCGGGCAAATCGCGATTTTCGCCGCTACCCGGCCAAAAATAGCGCGATTTTCGTCGCTACTGGCCAAAAACCGCTCGATTTTTCGCCGCTACCGACCAAAAAACCATGCGCTTTTCGCATCTGCCGGGCAAAAATCGCGATTTTCGCCGATACCAGCCAAAAATAGCGCGATTTTTGCCGCTACCGCCAAAAACCGCGCGAATTTTCGCCGCTACCAGCCAAACACCGTGCGATTTTCGGAGCTGGCGGGCAAAAATCGCGATTTTCAACCGCTACCGGCCAAAAATAGCGCGATTTTCGGCGCTACCGGCCAAAAACCGAGCGATTTTCCGCCGCTACCGGCCAAAAACCATGCGATGTTCGCAGCTGACGTGCAAAAATCGCGATTTTTGGCCGCTAGCGGCCAAAAATCGGGCTATTTTTGCCGCAAACGGCCGAAAACCGAGCTATTTTGCGCAAAAAACCATGCGATTTTCGCAGCTGGCGACACAAATCGCGATTTTCCGCCGCTACCGGCTAAAAATAGCGCGATTTTCGGCGCTACGCGGCCAAAACAGCTCGATTTTCGCCGCTACCTGCCAAAAACCATGCGATTTTTCGCAGCTTGCGGGAAAAAATCGGATTTTCCCCGATAACCAGCAGCCAAAATAGCGCGGACGATTTTTGCCGGTACCGGCCAAAAACCGCGCGATTTTCGCCGCTACCAGCCAAACACCATAAGATTTTCGCAGCTGGTGGGCAAAAATCGCGATTTTCGCCGCTACCGGCCAAAAATAGCGCGATTTTCGCCGCTAGCGGCCAAAAAACGGCCGTGTTTTTGCCGCTAGCGGCCAAAAGTCGGGCGATTTTTGCCGCTAACGGCCGAAAACCACGCTATTTTGCGCAAAACCCATGCGGTTTTTGCAGCTGGTGGGCAAAAATCGCAATTTTCGCCGCTACCGGCCAAAAATAGCCCGATTTTCGCCGCTACCGGCCAAAAACCGCGCGATTTTCGCCGCTACTGGCCAAAAACCAAGCGATTTTCGCAACTGGCGGGGAAAAATCGCGATTTTCGCCGCTAACCGGCCAAAAATTTGCGCGATTTTCGCCGCTACTGGCCAAAACTTGCCGGCGATTTTTCGCCGCTACCGACCGACCAAAAACCATGCGATTTTCGCAGCTGGCGGACAAAAATCGCGATTTTCGCCGCTACCGGCCAAAAATAGCGCGATTTTCGCCGCTACCGGCCAAAAACAGCTCGATTTTCGCCGCTACCGGCCAAAAACCATGCGATTTTCGCAGCTTGCGGGAAAAAATCGCGATTTTCTTTCGCCGCTACCGGCCAAAAATAGCGCGATTTTCGCCGCTACCGGCCAAA